TTTCTTTTTGCGAATACAGACTAACACGGCTGTTACTCTGAAACCTATCTCCCCACAGCGTTTTCTGTTACAGCGGTCACACCTTCAGTCCTGTCCCACCACCTATCGGCCCCCAAAGCAAGGAGACCTGTGTGTTTGTGAAAAGGAACTTCAGCACTTGGGGGATTGCAGGAATCTTCACCTATGAGTCAGACAAGTTCTCATTTATCGCCATGTTTTCCAACCCCTTCGACAACAACCTGAACGAACTTGAGTACGGTCTGGAAATCTTTGAAGGCAAAAAGAACTTCAGGGAAAATGTGCTGAAGTTAAAGTACGAAGAAATACGCAGCTCCAGGGTTCAAAAGGAACATACGTAAGTGAGAAACTTGGCAGAAATTCAACAGCTCTTGTTGTTAAGCTAGGGCAGTTTAAAATTTCTGGCACCATGTCCAACCACAGCAAAGCTGTTTTTAAGATACTGATTGAAGAAATTGATTCCCCTCCCGCCTACTCTCTAGCATCTAATGAGCCAAAATCCTTATTTTAGAAACCTAAGCAATAAATCCCCGCAAATGATTGAACTGGCCCATGGTGCATTTCAGATGAGCAGGAAATGTCCCCCAACTTTTGAATCCCTTTGAACATGCTGCAGAATTCAGGCTGCTTTTCCCCTAAGAAGTTCCCTCCTTTTTGTCTGGTTGGGAACTTCTCATGAACAAACTCTGAGATTTGCAAACTGTTTGAGTTTGAGAGTAACAGCCGTGTTAGTCTGTATTCGCAAAAAGAAAAGGAGTACTTGTGGAAGTGAGCTGTAACTCACAAAAGCTTATGCTCAAATAAATTGGTTAGTCTCTAAGGTGCCACAAGTACTCCTTTTCTGTTTGAGTTTGGTCATTTTTCACCTACAACTTTTAATGAAGATTCCCCCCCCCCCCGCTCCGTTTGTTTGTCTGCATATGTTGCATTTTAATCTATTTTTTTTATTTCCAATTGCTGCCAGTTATGCTCGCTCCTCAGCTGTCCAAAATCCTGTCACCTTTATCCCAAATAATAGTTTGAAAAGAACATTTTCCTACAAAAATATTTTTGACTAAATCCCATTTTTTGGTGGGAAAATGATTCTGATAAAAAAAGGTTTAATTAGTGGCAGTGCAGTGGTTTGACAGACTCCTCAAAACTAGAGCAGGGGCTTGTTAGGTTATAAGGCACAATATTGATCAAAAAATTAATGGAAACGAAGAGAGATTTGCTAGGATGTGTGTATTTAGTAATGGCTATTTTGTCTGTATGTTGTAAAAAAATAAAATCTTATGATCCTAGGCTGGGCTTTTCCCACGTCAATAAAAGAAATTGAAACAGAAGTGAAAAGCCTAAATCAAGAGAGATTGCACATCTGCATTCCTTTGATGATGATGATGATGCTCATTAAAATGTTTTGCAGTTTTTTTCCCTTTGCTTTTGTGCTTTTCTTGACAAACAGAGGCAGGTTTTATTTTTTTCAAATGGAGAAGACTCAAACCACCCTGGGTTAAACAGAACGGTCCCTCAGTACATTTCTAGCACTGAGTGAGTGAGAGGTTGGCGTGGGGCTAGGCATGGGACAGGGCCGAAGGGTATTAGCTAGGCTGTGTTTGTGACTACTTGTGCTGTGTAATGAAGGGAGCAGGGCATGTTCCAGCCTCCAGGGGCTATCGTCTGGCGCTGTGGGAGAGTCCTGGAGCTGCTCTTTTTGAACAGTAAAACAATCCAGATGGGAAAGAGCCCCCCCATGGGAATGAGATCCTGACACACACAGCTGCCCACTGGGTCCTTGGCTATGCTGCTGCACGGGAGGGTGCGGGAGGCTTGGAGCTGCAGGCCAGGTGCTCTGGCTGGGGACACACACAGTGTGAGGCACCATGATGGCGGGGGGGGGGGGGGGGAGTGATGCCTCTAATATCCTGGGACTGGCTTCCCTAGGGGTTGTTGGTGCACAAGAGCCCCCAGCCTGACTCTAAACCTCCAGACTTCTTGGCTGAATTGGCAGGGGGGATGAAACCTACACTTCCGCACCAGCTCACAGGACACCAGCAGGGGCGACAGAGCCCTAGGCACACCCCACAGGCCTGCCCCTAGGACATGGCCCTGCCGCTCATTGCTTGGCAATTGCCAGGGTCCCCCCACTGGGTTCGTCAGGGAATTGCCACACCTCCTGTGTGGTTCAGCCCCTACATGCCTAAGCAGAGAGCTCTGGGGGCTGGAGGGGTGGTGGGGGCTTTGCGAGCCATCCCAGCATAGCCACAACAGGAAGGCAGCAGTGAACAACGGGCCCTCTGCTGCGGAGGTGTTGCTGGTGCCCAACCAGAACGGCGAGTGTCACAGAGCACACCTCTGGGAGCTATTGTCACAGGCTCCCTGCACACTCAGGCAGGTCACATTTCCAAGCCTTTCTCCCCAACTCAAAAGGCCTGAAAAATGTCATCCAATTGTCATCCCGTGGTTTCAGGAGATGAGCCCTGGGCACAGGGTCTGTGCCTTTCTCCAGCGCTGGAGAGGGCCAAATTCAAAACATAGGCACGCAAGGCTGATCAGGTGCGAGAGGTAACTGCAAGACCCAGCATGCCTGCAGCATGCCAGAGGAGGATGCAGCCTGTGCTATTTCTATGGCACATTGGTAACCAAGAGAGGGGCATGGCGGGGCTGGGTGAAACCCCAATAAGGATCTGAGTTGGTGGCAAAAATACTGTCTTAGAAAGAAGGAGCAAAATGAGCATCACCCCAACTGGACGGGCAGCTCTGGGGCACAGCACGGGGTCTGGGGATGTGTCTAGAAATGGTCCCAAGCTAGGAGCTTTTCAGTCAGTGCTAAACCCCTCCAAGTGAGTTACCCCAAACAGCTCAGCGCCAGGCGGCCTGGGGTCTCCACTGAGAGCCAGGGGCTAAAGGCAGCTTCTAGGGCCCTGAGCCACACTGAGCTGTGAGAGCGTGTTGGTTATTTGAACCCAGAGTGCCCCCTGCTGTCAGCTCAGGAAGCTGGTTTGCTGGCATTTCATGGATGGGGAAGGGGCTCCCAGCACACCCCAAAGGCTGAGAGGAATTGGGCTGCTTGCCCTCAATGGAGCTAAGGAGAGTCACCATCTGAGGGCCCCCATAGCATTATTTGGGGGGCAGTGAATTCCTATAGCCCAAGGCCAGAAGGGACCACTGTGATCATCTAGCCTGAGTTCCTGTTTGGCACAGGCCAGAGACCTACTCCACATAATGGCAGCAATTCCGCAGCTCACAGGCCTCTGGTGAACGTGCTGCGCCAAGGGCAATCAGCTGCAGAAACGGGCTCAGACTTGAGACACAAAACACCAGGTACAAGCCTCTGGGGCACCATGATCCCCCTTCCCACCAGCAGCACAGCAGCCCTTCTCAGCACCCCCACCCCAAGAGCAACCTGTCTCGAGCAGTGAATAGCTGTATGCTGCCTCTAACGTGAACAGCTGGGACCCCAATGAACAGCGCTGACAACTTGCATTGCCATCCTTACACTTCAGAATCAACACCCCATTGAGATGAATGGGGCTGGTTCACACCCCTCTGGAAAGCCAGGCTGGCTGCAGACTCAGGCACCATCACTGTATCAGGGCACACTCACGTCAGTGCTGGCAACGCTCAGGATCTCATTGTGAGTCTGGCAGGATTCTGTGTATTTCTGAAAGCCTGAGCCCCTGGCACCATGAGCATAAGCCAGAATTCCAGCTTTTATTTTTTAAAAATGGTTTGTAGTCCTCCTGGTTGCAAAGAAAAGCTTCAAAATGTGACCACTAAAGGCTCAGAAGACACAGCAAATAAAAAGAATTCCAGGTTTTTTAACTGCATGATTTTTAAGCCAATCCCATTATTTCAGGGACCCAAATCATGACTTTTGAAGTCCTGGGGCTGGCAATGCTCAGTGCAGGCTTGGGGGGTTTCTTTGCCCTGTGTGAGACCATCAGTTCCAATGGCCCCCTGGTGTTGGGACGGGGGAAGCTCTCACTTACTTACACCTGACCACGGCTTGCAAACAGGCTCAAAATCTGGGCAGCTGGCTCATTTCTATGTGTTCTACTGGCTAGTGCAGAGGGCCCTATACAACCCAGCACTGCTATAGACCTGCAGCGAATGGGTGACTCCGGCTTGACCCTGGAGGAACTGAGATCATAATCCAGTCCGATGGATTTAGGCCACATATATCCATTAGGGTTGTACTAGGCTGAGCACCAACCTGGCTCCTAGACTCACCCCACCCCCCATACCCGTGGGGGGAGGCTGCAGTTCCACTGATGTCGGAGAGGCAAGGTTGGGATCAGTTGGCATCTTTTGGGTTAGAACCGTTGCCATTCCAAGCAGTAGCCAGGCCATAAGGGGGCCTGCCTTCGGCCGAGCCCCATGGAAACCTGTGACACAAAGAAGATCAACCACCCACAGAGCAAACAGATGCACTCCAGCTTGCACCGCTTCTGTGAAACAAGACCTGGCTCCACTCTCTGCATTTGGCCATAAAAGTGGGTCATTTTATGCTGGAGCCCACTTGTGCATGTCACAAAGCCACTGTACAGCACCCTGCTTTTCAGGAGTGGCCTAGCACTGCAGGAGGGAGAGGAGGATGGCTATGGGTCAGGATTGAGGGGCACCAGCAGAGCTAGGCGGGGGAGGGAGGGGAGCCGAGGGCTAGGACAGCAGGGGGCTATGGGTCAGGATTGAGGGGCACCAGCAAAGCTGGGGAGGGACGGACCCAGGGCTGGGATAGGATTTGAGGGGCACCTCAGGGCTGGGAAGGCAGGGGTTGAGGGTTGGGACACCAGCATTACTCTGGGAGGTGGATTAGGTAACACCTGCCCGTTCTCCCCCTGTCCCTGCCCTACCCCCTCTTCCACAAGCACCAAACTGGGCCCACATTTAAAACCAGTGGCTCTGGGGCAGGTGGCAGGAGATCCCCCTGGAATAGCAGGAGCGACTGGCGAGCTGTGATCAGGCCTGGCCCACAGAGCAGAGATGACACAGAGACACAGTTAAATAACTGTCCTGTAATTAGTGTCGAGGAGCTGAGCGGGGATCCCCCACCCTTCCCTACAGTAGTAATACAAAAGGGGGACCCAGGACAATGAGAGTCCACGCACAGAGTCCCATGGCTTCGGTGCTGGGGAGTTTAGTGTGGAGCCAGGCACCTCCAGGCCAGCACAGATGCAGGGTGAGTCTGGGTGCAGGGGATTGCTAGCCCCCAGTGTGACCTTCTCCGGGAAAGGTCCTTCCCCATCCTCCCCCTGCTGATGGGCAGGCACAGCAGTAAGTCCACAGGAACCAGAGCGGAGCTTAGCAGCAGCCGGAGCCCAGAGACGCTGCCCGGCAGTTGCCCCGTGAAGCAGGCAGGCCCAGCGGTGTAGTGACGAGGCACCTGACTCTCCCCGAGACTGGATGAGTTTCTGGCACAGGCAGGGCCCATTCCCTCCACCCCACACTCCTTCCTGGCTGCAGGCGATGCAGGACCTGCCCAGGAACTTGAAATGTCCCATGACCACTTAAATAATTATCTGTGCCCAGTGGCTGCCCTGCCCCCAACTTCCTGAAGGAAGGAATGGGCCCCAGGCATGCTGGGATAGTGTCCTCAGCCAGGCCCTGCAGATGCCAACCAGCTGTGGATGGGCAGCCCCGACAAGGCCTGGGCACCCAACAGCTAGGCCCGGCCCCTGCGGAGGGGTGGGGATTAGTGTTTGGAATCTATACGCATTGGGTGTGGCACATGCTGAACCAAACATGCCCACTACAGCGTGAACACAGTGCCCTCAGACCATGGGCCGCACACTGCCAAGTGCCAACCCACCGGGCCACACCTCACTGCCTAAAACGGAGCAGGGCACGGCCACCACAGCACGGGGATGCAGCACACAGCGACAGGCTGCAGCTGTCAGGTGAACTCCCTGGACACGGCGTGGGTGACTTGCTCTACCCGCTGCTCCCTGGGGCAGAGCCCAGTGCTGCCACTTCCCCTGCCAGGTCACATCCCGTATGCACCCCACAGAGGCTGGAGGGGTGTGTGCGCGACAGGAGAACATCCCATCGCCAGCAACAGGGCAAGTTACTCCTCCCTGCAGCAGGTTCTAGGTGGGCCCAGCTCACCGACCTGTCCCTAGCATCCATCCATCCCTGGGCCACCCATTAAGTGGCACCAACCCCATGGGGACAGTGCCCCTTGCGGGGGAACAGCCCCACCAGCCAGCTGCACCTGCCTCAGCTCCCTCCCTGCCCCTCACCCCAGCAACTGGGCTCTTGCAGGGTATCTTGCAGCAGGCCAGCAGGACACATCCGGACTGCCCCTTAGTTCATACCGCGCCCAGCACGACAGAGCCCTAGGCACCACTGTAACGAACGTGATCCTGCCTCTGCTCCGCCGAGCTCCCTGCTGCATGGCACGACCCATGGGCAGCAAGGTGCCCTGCTGCTGGGTGGCCAGAGCCAGCAGGCATCTCTTCGCAGGCACAGCACCGGCTGGCACGACTCCCACCCGCCCTGCAGGAGCTGTGTGTCTGAGCAAGTCTTCACCTCAGCTACAGCCCTTTGAATTGGGGAGTGGCCTGTTCTGGACTGCCCCCCAGGCTCTTCCCACGCTAGCAGTAACCCTCCCCCCACTCAGCCCCAAAACTCAGCCCTGGAGAGAACTGCTGGCTGATGGGCGCAATCAGCAGCCCCAGGAGAACCTGGCTCACCCCACACCCTGCTCCCCTGGAGTGGGAGGCTGTAAACCCTTCTGCTACTACACACATGGCTCCGCTGGTCCCATCTCACACATTCTTGCCCTTTCTCTGCTTGGGGGTCCCTCTGAGCAGCCTTAGCTACAGGAACGCACCCAATTTGAGCAGAGAAGGGGGTACTGCAGGGGGGGCACCTGCCTCATTGATCCTGTTCTAAAAGGGAACTTCACAGGGGGTGAGGGACACACTGTGTGCCCTGGGGAGAGCTAAGGGCAGGAAAGGGCCTGAGCTGGGTTCCCTGAGGGTCTCCTCAGAAGGCTTGGAGAGGCAGATGGATCAGGAGCTCTCTCAGCCCCAAATGGGACAAGGCTGCTAAGGCATTAACCAGGGGACTCCCCTCCCAGCGTCCTGTTGGCATGAGTTAAATGGGTGCAGGAAAGGGGGCCCATCTGTGCTGTCCCTGTAGGAGGACTGGCCATTTGAGGAACTGGCTCCACATCTCCTAATCCCCCAGAACAGGGCTGTGTGACACAAGGGCAAGGACCCCACAGCCCCGTCTACATTCCCTCAGGACTAGCACAGAGGTGGTGGGGACACATTCTGCTGCCTACTCCCCACACAGCCAGGCCTGCTGGCTCTGGGTCCACCCTCAGGGGCCAACAGCACCCAACGGCTGCAACTGAACCTCGTCCTCACTAGCCAGGTCCTGCCACGAAGGGGGCTGGAGGGCCGAGGTGACTGACACCATGCCCGGTGTAACTCAGCACAGATGGGAACACCTGTGACCAGAGCTCCAGCAGGGTGACACTCCCTGGGACTGGTGCTAACGCAGGAAAGCCCCTCCCCAGGGTGAGGTACTGTCCACGGGCGGCCCGGCCGCTCCGTAACAAAAGGCAGTGCAGGATCCCATGAGAACAAGCTGCTGTGCTGGGCAGGCACGGCCCGGTGCCAGCCGCCCCTCGGCTCATGTGGGTCACCCAGAGGCCAGGCTCTAACTCAGCTAGCACGGCCCCCTAAACTCCCGCCGGCTCCACAGCTCTGCAGTCTGGCACAACTGGCATCTTTAACTCCTGCTTTCCCAGGACAGAGGGGCCAGGAACCAGCCCGGCAAGGGGGGCCTCATTCAACCCCTCTTTGTACCTTCTTGTGTCTCCAAAGGGGCACTCAGAGCTGAGAACTCCCCCGCGCCAACTCACCAGTCCCCAAGGGAGCCCTCCAGCCCAGCAGAGCAGACAGCACATCGGGGTGGGCCTCGCACCAGCTAGCAGCAAGTGGCTCTGGGCTGCAATTCACATTGTACGCCATTCTGGCGCATTCACACTTAGTGCAGGCTGAGAGAGCCCGCTCTGGATCTAGTGTAACTTGTTTTCTTATTGTGACACCAAGAGGGGAGAAACGGTTTGAGCTGATCCCGTTACCTCCCCTTCTGTCTGTGGAGCGATGGGTGCGACTTGGTCACATGCACATCCCAGCGCCTACGGGCTGCAGGTGCCAGACGAGAGGAGGGGCTGCGACCCAGCCCTTGCCCTGTGGGTTCAGTTCCCACAAGAAAGCAACCCAGCATCCTAAACCGGGTGGATGGGACTCCCCATTGCAGTGGGGGAATGAGTCGGAGGTGTGCAGCGAGCATAAGCTCCGCTCAGCTGGAGGCAGCTGGGAGCTCTGTTGCTGACCGAGAAGGAGCCTGTTTTCCCATTCCCCTGGGGCTCACCCAGGAGCCCAGAGAGCCCCTCCCAGCTACTCGGGGAGTTGCCAGCTCTCAACCCCCTGGCAGGGACCATGCTATCCAAGGAGAGGAATCCTGGGCCACAGGGATGCTGATGGAGCATCCCCAAGGGGCCTGGCGAGGGGCCGCCCTGGCTGTGCCCAGTCTGTTTGTTGACCCTCTCGGGAGGCTGCCATGGGGCGATGGCACAGAGGTGGGGCTCACAAACCCCTTCCCAGCCAGGGAGCACAGAGGAGACAGTCTGGTCCCCTGCTCAGTATTCACCAAACTGCAGCTCCCTGTGGGGAGGGGGAGCTCCCCCCAGCTGGATCTAGCGTTGCCCTGCTGAGCAGACGGGTAGAGCTCAGGGGGCTTTTCCCTGCTGTCCGACCTGACTTCTCTCTCTCCAGCCCAGCCCCCATGACAGGCATGGAGCAAACCCCTCCCAGGGGACATGATGCTGAGGAGCCAACCATTCTTCCCTTTCCCCGAGCTCCAGGGAATGCCCAGAGAAGGGTCACCGGGCCCTGGAGCAAAGCAGTGACTCAGGCCAGGGCAACCCAGCCCTCCGCAGACCTATAGCCCATACCCGATGCGCACATAGGAGCTTTCATCGCCCCTTATCGTGAGGGGGTGTGGCTAGCTGAAATGCTCCTCCCAGCATGCACTGCTTCACCCTGACACACGAGGGACCGCAGTGCACACTGGGAGATGTAGTCTCCATGGGCCCCCTGGCCGGCACAGTGCCCGCTGGCAGCTGTCTCCCATGAGGGCCCAGCCAGGGCGGCACCCACTGGGAGCTGCACGTAGCCTGGGATGCACTCCCTGGCGGGGCACGTTGGAGCAAGAGTCGGGTCAGCCGTCACGGTGCACACGCTGGTGCTGCAGCAGGTTGGAGGGGTGGGCGAAGCCCTTGTCGCAGACGCTGCACTTGTAGGGGGTCTCGCCCGTGTGCACTTTCTCATGCACCGTCAGATAGGCCAGGTCCTTGAAGAACTTGTCACAGAAGCTGCACTTGTAGGGGCGCTCCTCGCTGTGCACCCGGTGGTGCTGCAGCAGCAGGGAGGGCCGGGCGAAGGCCTTCTGGCACACCTCACACTTGTAGGGCCGCTCGCCCGTGTGCGAGCGCTCGTGGATCACCAGGTAGGACGACTGCTTGAAGGCCTTGCCGCAGGTCTTGCAGACGAAGGGGCGCTCGCCGGTGTGCACCCGCTCGTGCGAGGAGAGGGCGTTGGACTGCTTGAAGCCCTTGCCGCAGATGGGGCAGACGAAGGGCCGGTCACCGGTGTGCACCCGCTCGTGCACCTTGAGGCTGTGGCCGTAGGTGAACTTCTTGCCGCAGACGCCGCAGACGTGGGGCTTGTCGTCGCAGTGCTGGCGCTGATGCAGCAGCAGCGAGTTGGAGGTGGGGAAGTCCTTCCCGCAGTCGCCGCATTTGAAGGGCTTCTCAGTGCAGTGGGTGAGCGTGTGGCGCTGCAGTTCGTAGGGCGTCTTGAAGCTCTTGTCGCAGCAGGCGCACTGGTAGGGGCGCTCGCCGGTGTGAATGCGCCGGTGCTCCTGCAGGTTGGACGAGCGCTTGAACTTCTTGCCGCACATCTCGCAGTGGAAAGGCCGCTCCTCGGTGTGCACCAGGCGGTGGCTCTTGAAGTCCGAGTGGCGCTTGAAGGAGGCCTCGCAGAGGTCGCAGTGGAAGGGCCGCTCCTCGTTGTGCACCACCTCGTGGCTGAACAGCTCCCAGGCCCGCTTGAAGGTCTTCTCGCACACGCCGCACGCAAAGGGCTTGTCGTCCACGATCACCTCCCGGATCTCCAGCTGGGGGCCTGCCCGCCTCAGGTGTGGTGGCAGCACCACCCCCTCGTCCAGCTCGCCCGCCGCGCCACCCAGCACCAGCTTGGCAGTGGAATAGATCCCGTGCTCGTCGATCAGCTGCACGAAGTCCGGCTTGGGGCGGGCGGTGCCAGGCCCAGCCAGCCTGGGGGAGCCAAACTTCTTCTCTTCCTCCTCCTCCTCCCCCCACTCCAATGCCAGGCCCTGCTCTTGCTCCTCCTCCCGCTTCAATGCCAGGCCCTGCCCCTCCTCCTCCTCCCGCTTCAATGCCAAGCCCTGCCCCTCCTCCTCCCCCTCCGGTGCAGGGTCCTGCCCCTCCTCCCCACTGCACTGGGGGAGTGGGAGGGAGGGCCCCACGTCACCAGGCCCTGCCTCCTGGCCATTCTCCAAGGGTCTTTTCTTCCTCCGGAAGTTGCTGGCTTGGCCTCGCAGCAGCCGCAGCCTTTTGCCCTGGGAGGGCCCTGGCTCCTCGGCAGTCGTTGGCTGCCTGCGGTCCTGGCTTGGGGACACAGTGACCTGGCCAGGGGCCAGCTTCATGTACAGCCGGTGCTTCCGCCGGAACGGCCTGCGGGGCTGTGGCTCCCGGCACAGAGGGGACACCACCTCCTCTTCTCCCCCATTCTGGTTCTGGCCTGTCCCATCAGTGTCCCGGCAGGTTGCAGTGCTATGCCTCCCTTGGTACTGGCTGGGTGGGCAAGGAGAGGGAGAACTCCTGGGTTGCCCCGGGGAGCTCCCCATCATAGTTGGATCCTGCACGCTTCTGCTCTGCTCCCAGGCCGCATCCTCCTTCTCCAACCAGCCCGCCTGGACCATCCGGATACAGCTCAGCGGGGACGGGGCCTTGCTGGCAGAAGAAGCCGGATCATCCTCCATGACTGTGCCAGCCCCCGTCCCAGGCAGGTTCCTCTGCAAGAGACCAGGATGGAGAGTTAAGAGCCTGGCACGGCCACCTTCACCCTGGCAAGGCCCACTACTCCTGCCCTAGCGGTACCCCTGCAGGCCTGCCTCCCCCTCTGCCCAGCTCTCTGCCCAATCTCCAGGCTCCTATCCCAGTAAGAAAGGGGTTTTCCATGGCTCACCTGCAGCAGTTACCATGCTAATCAGCTCACCAGAGGCAGAGAGGGAACGGGGCAGCACCTGCACCAGCCGGACACGTGGAGGGGAGGGAGGTGCATGGTGAATGATTTGGGGAGGAGAGTGTGCAGAGCATGGCCCTTCCCCCCAATCCCAAATCGGCCATTACCCTGGTCTATGCCTTTTCCACACATGATGTTCTACCACCCCCTTGGGTGCGATGGAGTAGGTCAGACATGGGCACAACCGTTCTAGGGGCAGGAGGGTGAAAACCAAAGCTAGGTGGGTGAGAGCTGGGAAAGCACACAGACAGGGATGGGAGTAGAGAACAAGGAGCGGGACAGGAGGGGATGCAGAGCATGGTCAGGATGATGTGTGGCCCACATCCATATAATGCTCCCTCCAGGATGCTCTCCCTCCCCAGAGGTTCCCAGGTTCCCTTGCCCCCACTCCTCCTCTGTGTGTGTGGATGTCCCCGCCCCGTGGTCCCCTAGAGGAAGTATCCAGGACAGGACAGGGCTCTCAGGACAGGGTCACTGCACCAGGGTCTAGCACTCTGCCCTGAATGACTGAAGGCCTCGGCCATGGGGGCAGTCTGGGTCCAGCTCATTCTGGTGGGACCAATCAGCCTCAGCAACTCTCTTGAGGGTGGGGGGCAGGCCCAGGGGAGCAGGCAGCAGGGAGTTGTCCTGCACTGGCTCCTGCTGCATGGACCAGGCAGGACCCAATGAGCTCGCCCAGCACGATCACCCCCGGCCATATGGCTGAGCCTGCGGCCCAAGGCAGCACATCGCTCCCTGGCAGGGAGCCTGCGGGGCCCACACCCAAGGCTGCCAGAGAAAGAGTGAGCTTCTGCATTCGAGGGGGAGGGGAGCGGAAAAAGGGGTGGGGGAGGGGCAAGGTCCTGCCATGACTACATCCAGCCAGTGCAGAGGGGCTGGCTCTCACCAGCAGAGGCCAGGAAGTTCACATGACACCACGCTGAGGGAAAGGCAAAAGATACCCGAAGCCCTGTGCAGGGCAGGATCCGACCCCACTCCTCCCGCACCCACTGGCTCAGGAGCTTGGGGGCCTGCATCCCTCTATCTGGGGTCACCCGCACCCCCGGAAAGGTCCCACAACAGCAGGAAAGGATCCTGTTAAAGCATTTCAGGGCCAGGCTCAGTTCACATGACACCAAGCATGACAGTATGGATCTGCGTCACCCATGTCCCAACCATCCCCTCCGCGGTCTCCTCAGCAGCACCAGGACAACAAGGGCCTGTCTCTACGCAGAGTTGTGCCTGTTCAACCATAAGAACGGCCATGCTGGGTCCGACCAAAGGTCCATCTAGCCCAGTGTCCTGCCTTCCGACAGTGGACAGTGCCAGGTGCCCCAGAGGGAATGAACAGAACAGGGCAATTCTTGAGTGATCCATCCCCGGTAATCCACTCCCAGTTTATGGCAGTCAGAGGTTTAGGGACACTCTGAGCATGGGGTTGCATCCCTGCCCATGTTGGATAATAGCCATTGATGGACCTATCCTCCATCAAGCTTCTCTAATTTATTTTTGAACCCAGTTATACTTTTGGCATTCATAACATCCCCTGGCAATGAGTTCCAGAGGCTGACTGTGCATTGCATGAAAAGTACTTCCCTATGATTGTTTTAAACCTGCTGCCTATTCATTACATTGGGTGACCCCTAGTTCTTGTGTTATGTGAAGGGGTAAATAACACTTGCCCATTCACTTTGTCCACACCAGTCATGATTTTACAAACATCTATTGCATCTCCCCTTCGTTATCTCGTTTCTAAGCTGACCATTTCCAGTTTTTTTAATCTCCCCTAAAAGGAAGCTGTTACATACGGAGAAGGGTAACACAAAGATTGCACGTATCTCTTCCAATTCTAAAATAGCTTTATTGAGATGGGGCAATCAGAACCGCATGCAGTATTCAAGGTGTGGGCATACCATGGATTTATACAGAGGCATTATGGTATTTTCTGTCTTATTACCTATCCTTGCCTAATGATTCATAACACTGTCAGCTTTTTTGACTGCTGCTATACACTGAGTGGATGTTTTCAGAGATCTCTTTCTTGAGTGGTAACAGCTAATTTAGACCCCATCATTTTGTATGTATTGTCAGGATTAAGTTTTACAATGTGTATTACTTTGCATTTATCAACACTGAATTTCATCTGCCATTTTGTTGCCCGGTCACCTCATTTTGTGAGATCCCTCTGTAACTCTTCAGAGTCAGCTTTGGACTTAACTATCTTGAGTAATTTTGTATCATCTGGAATCTTTACCACCTCACTGTTTATCCCTTTTTCCAGATCATTTATGAATATGTTGAACAGCACTGGTCCCAATACAGATCTGCTATTTTCCTCTCACTGCTATTTTCCTCTCTCCACTGTGAAAACTGACCATTTATTCCTACCCTTTGTTTCCCATCTTTTAACCAGTTACTGATCCATGAGAGGACCTTCCCGCTTATCCCAAAACTGCTTACTTTGCTTAAGAGCCTTTGGTGAGGGACCTTGTCAAAGGCTTTCTGAAAGTCCAAGTACACAATATCCACTGGATCACCCATGTGCACATTTGTTAACTCCCTCAAAGAATTCTAAAAAGCTTTGCTGACAGTTCCCAAACTAGGAATCTGATAATTCTGTTTTTTACTATAATTTCAACCAATATATCTGGTACTGGAGTCAGGCTTACCAGCCTATAATTGCCAGGATCGCCTCTGGAGCCTTTTTTAAAAATTAGCATTACATTGGCTATCCTCTAGTCAGCTGATTTAAGCGATAGGTTACATACCACGGTTAGTATTTCTGCAATTTCATATTTGAGTTCCTTCAGAACTCTTGGTTGAATAAACAATAAGAAATTCTCAGGAGGAGATGGTAATTTATCAATTTGTTCCAAAACCTCCTCTATCGACACCTCAATCTGGGACAGTTCTTCAGATTTCTCACCTAAAAAGAATGATTCAGGTGTGGGAATCTCCCTCACATCCTCTGCAGTGAAGACTGATGCAAAGAATTAATTTAGCTTCTCCACAACAACCTCTATTTCCTTGAATACTCCTTTAGCACCTTGATCATCCAGAAGCCCCAATGATTATTTGACAGGCTTCCTGCTTCTGATGTACTTACAATTTCCTTTTTGCTGTTAGTTGCTGTCTTTTATTAGCTGCTCTTCAAATGATTTTTTGGCCTGCCTCATTATACTTTTACACTCAACTTGCCAGAATTTATACTCCTTTATATTTTCCTCAGTAGGATTTGACTTCCAATTTTTAAAAAGACATCTTTGTTGCCTCTAACTCTCTCTTTTACTCTGTTGTTTAGCCATGATGGCATTTTTTGGTCCTCTTACTGTTCTCTTTAAACTATTATTTGGGGTATACATATAGTTTTTATATATAGTAATATATAAAATTACATATAGTAATTGAATAGGACTCTTTTGTTTGACTGTTTCTCTTTGGTTCATACCTGTATTTATCAACTTCTATCCTCACCTCTCTACTGGAATAGAGAGTATCCTCTAATAAATCCTCAAGTAAGGGACGTGTCTGTCTGAACTGCATGCTTCTGCACGTCAGCACTACCACTGCAAACCGGTTCAGTTAAACTGGTGCCTATGGCCCCCTGGATGCCCCTACTGGACACAAGTCACCCCCACAGTTTGGTTTGGGCCAGTCCCCTGCAAGCCAGGATCATGGTTGTAGCCAGAAAAGAACCTCCATGTGCCAGCTAGCTATCCTCGCTGAGCTGAGGGGCACAGGTGGTCACCCTGATGGGCAGGCAACCGACATGCAGCAGTGACATCAAGAACAGTGACATGAGGTGCCTGAAGCAATTCACAGGTCGACACGGACTCTGCCCCAATGCACAGAAGGCTGATCCACCCCCTATAGGGTGCACACAGTGGTTTCTTCCTTCTCAAAGGGTGCACACTATGGTCTCCCCTATCCCCATCCCATGCCCCCACATAGGACACACACACACTGGTCTCCCCCATAGGGTACATTCACAGACAATGGTCTCCCCCATCTCCATCCCATAGAGCACGCGCACACACACACACAATGGTCTCCCCCATCTGGTGCATTCATACACAATGGTCTCCCCCATCCCCACACCATAGAGCATGCAAACACACACACAGGTCTCCCCCATTGGGTGTACACACAGGCTTGGGAAGGTTGGCTTTCACCAAGTTAACCTTTCAAGAGTCCTGTTTAAACCTCATTTCATCAAGCCTTGGGCAATATCCATAGATATCATACCACAGGTCTTTGGGATCTCTTGGAGATGCTCAACCCACATTGGCGGTCTCCCTTGGTTTGGGTTAACTCAAATCCCTCTTCTGGGGCAACTGTGTGATGACCCCCCCCTTCTAGATACCCAACCTGGGCCTTAGTGTTTTCCTCACCACTGGGCCCTACCATCCACAAACTCATCACCCAGTTGGTCTGCGCTACACTGCGCTACAATGTTCACTGACCACATTTTAAGCTCATGGGGACAGATCCCACAGAGTTGTTTCAACCCTATAGGTTATATAAATCCTCCAGCGTAGTGATGTAAGAACAGCCAAACTGGGTCAGATCAATGGTCTGTCTAGCCCAGTATCCTGTTTTCTGACAATGCCCACTGCCAGAGGCTTTAGAGGGAATGAACAGAACAGGACAATTATTGATTAATTTGCCCTTTGTCATCCAGTCCCAACTTCTGGAAGTGAGAGGTTTAGGGACACCCAGAGGATGGAGTTGTGTCTCTGACCACCTTGGCTAACAGCCATTGATAGACCTATCCTCCATCAATTTCTCTAA